AATCTATCAATATATTTTTCGTAGAAAAGCGAAATATAAATCGAGAGTAATGATCACAAGGCAACCTGATGCGAGACTCAGGTGATTCGAGTTAGCGGAGCGAATCTCCGCTATGTAGTGATTCTCGACTATATGTCGTGGGCATTCATTCTAGAAATCCTTTCATAGCAGGCTTACCGTTTGTGGCACTTAAGCTATATGAACAAATATTATATATACTAAGCCTTTAGCTACGCTAGGCTTAATTTTATTTGAGGTTCGATATCCATTTTCCTCATTTTATTTAAAAGTTTTAATACATAGAAATGAATAAAGCGGAAGGTATTTGAAATTCCGAACAGTTACACCTCTATGTGCATAATAGTTTCAGAAACAGTTCCAAAATAGTTTCTCCAAAAACTTGTTTGCGCTCGAGCTATCAACGCTTTTTTGCAAATAGCATATAATTGTTTTTTTTTAAATAACTAAGATTATAATTGTAATAAATGAAACTAGATAAACCATCCATTACGTTAAAAACATCCACATCAACATTATAACGGTACTATAGGAGTTCCAGTATTGATAATGAGAAAAAACTTGGGAACACTACGATTGCAGCAGTAAAGAACAAACAAAAACCGCTTATCATGCTAATAAACATCATACAAAAGTATTTATTGATTGAGAATAAGAATCGATTAAACAGCACACAAAAGAAGGTAAACATCTCGCGAATACCAGTAATTGATATTTTTTCGTAACCTTATATATAAATATTGCGTTAGGACCTAATAGTAAATTACATTATATCCTCTTGGTCACTGAACATTTCGGCTTCTAGTTTACTCCACAACGAAGTTACGAGGGGTCGAAAATGGCCCGGATGACTTCGAGAAAAGCATGGTACGGCCGTGCCCTTTTTACTTTTTGCTTGACTTACAGATAAAGTAATTGATAGTTTGCCGGTGAATAAAATAAAGACGAAAAACTATTTTCTCATCATGATTTTATCAGCAAAAAAATGGAAAGTACCACAATTTTATTCAGAAATATCCAATGTAAATAAAGAACTTTTAGCTTTATTTCTCTTCGGAATCGTGAAATTTCACTGAAAGGCTTGCTCATGCGTTCTTTGACATTAAATACTTTAAAGAAGCTACAAATATCTACATATCAATTTAGAATTCAGTAAGGCCTTTGATTAAGTAGAACATAAATATAAATATAATCCTATAATATACTTAATAATAATTTTATTAATTTGAATTAGTTGTTCATGATATGGCACACTTTCGGACTATTTCTCGGTTGAATTTAAAGTCTAAATATATTTATATATGTGATTAATTATTATTGTAGTTTCATTTTCAAAAGGTAAATGACATCACGTCTTTGCTAATTTCGGTCAAAATTATGATGAAAATTAAAATAAATATTGATAATTTAAATGTATTTTTATCTATTACCTATCATTCGGACCGATACATGCACATATCTCATGGTTAATTAAACAATCTCGCTGATTCGATCTGATTGGTATGCGTCCACGCCTCTCTTTCCTTTTGCTTTAATTAATAGAACGACTTTACGTGATCCGATGTATACAATATGTGATTAAAAACTGATAAACAAATATATTATTAACTTTCTCTGGAATACTGTTTGTGGCTGCAAATGTGATGCTGGCGCTGACGACCTCCGTGCCTGAGTGGCTTGAACGCTCGAACACGAATCAAAACATGGATAAGATATAAAAAAAGCTTTATTTATAGTTTTTTTTTGTTTAATAGAAATAACTGATCGATTATCTATTTAAAAAAATCACTTTACCAATTGTCGTTTACAGTCAGATTTCTACTAATATATAAAAGAATTCCTTAGCATCCTTGTAAAGAGAATATTATAATTGTATTTAGATAATGTGGCTACGCTGTTGTATTGGGATTACCTGTAATAATAGCGATAAGCTTGTAATAATAAATAAATTATAAAACAATGTCAAATTAAGTTGGTAAAAACATTTCAAAATTGATTGCCAATGACGCTTTATATAAAGAGAAAAGATAATAATATTGAGATCCCGTCTCCTGATAATCACTTTCAAATTAATTTGATTTATACAGATAGGTAAATGAAATAGTCTTATTGAACATAATAACTATCGGTTGTTCCTAGGCTGAAATCTTTAAACCATCTGTAAAAAAAAGTCACTGAAGACTGACACGATGATATGTAAATTAAAAAAGAACGTTCAGAATTTTAATAGTCTGCAATACCGTGAACTATTGCATAACGATCGAAAGTATTAGATAAAGTAACAATAATAGATCATGGGCATGCTTTCTAAAGTTCAATCCCAGAAATAAACTGTAATAACGTCTCGAAAGTTCAGCCGACTGAGAATCTGCAATATTTATAACCGACATTTATATCGTTTAAGGCGGTACGTTATGGTTTAATTACATTTGACTGTAAAGAGATGGCACTAGTGTTCCAACCTGCCACATATATTTTACCTACCTCTCTTACTACATTCAAGACCGTACTCTATTCGATTGGTAAGAAAGAGAAGATTGCGATACTTTCTGTTGGTTACATACTCTATAATATAGGGTAACATATAGGGCCTATGTGTATGTGTACTTTATTGTATTTCGTTCTACCAACTTTGAAATTTATTCTATTATACGAAAAATACACTGCCTTTAAAGATAAAGTGGTGGATGAGGTAGGGGCTTGATCTTCCCTCTCCTTTATGCTGCCATATGCTTTGCACAGCAGAACTTCTTGTAAATTGTTTGTCAAATAGCAAATTATTATTTTCGTTTTGTAACTGTAATTAATTTATTCGAGATACTTTTGCAAAACTAGCAAATCCACTAATGTTATCTTTGTATTATTATATTCATATAACTCACGCATATTAATATGGATCTACATACTTTTTACTAAGCCATTCTTTTCTTAAAGAAGAAAAATTGACAAACCTCGAAATAACACTAACAAAAATATATTTAATAATTTCCTTAATGTCTTAGTTAAAAAGTTAAACGTGCAATTCTATAAGACCTTGCGATTAAATATTGGGCATTAATAAAGAGGGTTATAACCGTACGCTAATTTCAATTTCACAATAATGCTTTCAAAATGTTTAATTTTGAAGGTAAAGTAAAACGTAATAAATAAAAAAAAATCGAGCCAAAGGACATTAGTTGAAGCCTGTTAAATATATAAAAAGTAGTGTCGCATACAATAATAAATGTCAAGGTAGTCAAATACACGCACATAATAATTATTATCAGTTATCAATGAGGCAACTATAGTCGGTATATCAATAATACTGATATAGCGCAGATACTGATCGAAGACTACGTCATGAAGGCTGTTTAGGTCATACAGTAGCGAATGATTCGTTAACATTTCCATAGTGATATAGAATGGATTAGACAATGAGCATTCAAATTCAACGTCCGTTTTTTATGGTAGACCTAATACGTAACTATAAGAACTAATTAAGTATCAGCTTACGACTTATAACGATGAAAATAAAAAAAAATACACATTTAGTATTCGCTAAGATATTTCAGTTGGCTCAAACGAAACATCTGTTAACTTTTTTTTCTGAAACAGAATTATATGAGATATAATAGAATGTTTATGGTTGTAACAAATACGACATTGATATGTACTCCGTAAGTGAAAGCCTTAATAGAAGGCAGCAATAATTGCAGGACGTATAAATTAAAAAAAAACATTAAACCTAATAGGAGAACTTTTCATGCCGTTAATGAGATTGGTATAGTCCAAATAAAACATGTCTTATAATTCCATCTGTTCTTGTTGTAAGCCTTAATACGTTATACTTTTTAATGTAACGTATATTACAACTTATCTTAAAATTTACATAAGGTCTATAAGCTTCAAATAATTGGTGTTACAGATAAAAATACTGTGCTTACTAAAATGCAATATTTTATTGCTAGTATTGACTTTGTAAGCAAAATTGTGTCCTATCATTAGACAACATAAATATAATTTAAATAAGCCACAAACACCCAGTTGGACAAACGTCCATTAAGATTTGACGACGAAATATGACGACATTAACCTCTAATGAATGTTCTAAATTCAAAATTTTTTATCGGTAATTTCGTTTTAAACTAATGACAATTAAAATGGACGTTTGTGCAACTGACTGTAAGAGTTTGTATCAAGTGTGTTTTATCCAATAAAACAACACTACATCAACTCAAATAGTATAAATTACTATGAAAGTTATAAAATAGCATTCCTTTTACATATATTTTTTTCCTAAGAAATCAAATGATTTTCTTTGTAGAACACTATAACTGTTTTCTCATATAACGGCTCTAAATTCATGAAGTCGTCCATTGCAAGTATACCATTGTTGAAACTAGCACACATAGCTACACTAAGCTCTCTTAAAGAGATAAATCGACAACATCCATATATGTTATCCTTTCGCCATATGACGATCAAGAGAGTAGTATCACCATAAGCGTTTGAGTTGGTCAATCATACTATTTTAATGTCACTATGTCGCAAACATCATGTTGATTAAAACGACCGCTATTTAAACTACAAAATCAACACTAAAAGGACTGTCAAAAGATAACATGATCTCAATTAATAACCAGAAAATACCTTAAACTATTGCAAAAACATACATCACAAAACTTCATATTTCACACACTCGAATAAGTCATTTTGTAAAGGTTGTAGTTAAAATGACTCTATAAAAAGAGGCATATTTTTTATAATGTGCCTTACATAAAGAACCATTTGCTAAATGTATGCGGCTATTATTCCAACATATAATACGTGGTAATTTCATTATTAGTTAGCAGTGTAATTTAGAGTGCCAACGGGTCATTAGTAGGTACGTGTTTTGATTATAAAATCTTTAAATTCAAGATGAATAGATACCTATCGTGTGAAGAAATAAGAATTGAAGAAATTAACAAGGCATAAAATTTGTTAGTGCGTTAATAAGGTACCTTTACTTTTCTAGGATGTGATTCCTCCATTTCGACATGTCTGTAGTGCTCAGCTGACCGATGGACTTCACGTCCTCCTCTCGCCAGATCTTCGGCGGACGCTTTCTCCTCTCCTCTAGTAAGCGTCGTCACTTTCCTCACAATTCTAGTTGTGATCCGTCGTTGTCCGCTGTCGTCTTTCTTCGAGATCTTCGTCGACTCTAAGGAAGAGCCGAGGACCTCGGTCGACAAACGCTTGTTCGTGTGAATCGCCTGCAGCTCCGATATACCTCTCCCGCCGGCCGATGTCGGCACAGCCAAAGCGCTTTCGCCATCATATTCGAAGTGGGTCTGGTTACCGTCGTGCACTACGCGGCCGTTGTAACTCTCTTCGCGGTAAGATCCAGAACGATAGCTAGAAGTCCTCTCCATGCCTGGGTAATTACCATCGTACACTGTCTCGTGCCTGGTCAAACCTTCCCGTAAGCTTCTCGGGACCGAAGCAAGATTCAAACTGGTAGTGATCGGAGAACCGACTGGCGACTGAGAGGATTTCTTCAAACTAGATTTTCTTGGTTTCGATTCTTCGCCCTCGAGAGTTCCTTGGACAAAGAGACGCTTACTACTGCCTTCTTTGACGAATCTGTACATTGACATTGTCGATTCGTTTCTCACGCCACCAAAGGCATAATATTGTTCTTGTAGTAATAATGTTCACGCACTGTAATATTAGCGAGATATTTCGTATTACAGATTCGATACACGCCACAAGTAATTTACCGTTACCATGTGACAGACGAAACTCAGAAATCAACTTGTTAGAAAGTGTCGAATCCGAAACGGAATTATAATAGACAATAAGTGGGAAATTATCTCAACGGCTAAGAATTTTGGAAAGTGAATTTTATTTTGAAGTATATTAAAAAATGGATGGAATGCAAGTATATGACGGATTATGTGTTCTTGAATCCTTAAATAGAGTGTATGGGTGTCGAATACGGTATGACCCTTCCGGCAGGCGTTGAAGCGACAATATGTGAGGAAAATAGATAAAGACATCCTTCCAAATCGTGCGATGGATTTTTTTTTAAAGAAAATCCATTGTGAAAGTGTGATATTTGATAAGGTACACAAAGAAAAGTGTCGATCTTACTTTAAAGAAGAAAATGTGGGAGACATTAATAAAAGGTAGTTAACCTTGACCGAAATACCTGTATAAACAACTAGTAAAATTTATATAACTGAAGATCAAGTTTATAGCGCGGGCGGCGCGAATGCATAGATTATAAACAAACATTAGTACAAAAATGTAAAAGAATTTAATACTAGGGGAATTACTAGAAACAATTCCCTATAGATGTCGAGATTATGACCGGTAAGTGAAAACAAAGTAACAGTATACGTCTAACAAAGGTGCTAATTACATTCTTGCCACAAACGTTTGGCCTACAAATTACGCATTATTACATAAGTTCCATCTGTAAGTTGTGCTTCGTTTATTGTCGTTTATATTTGCTAGTTGAAACTTATAATATTTGTTAAGTAATTAATTTGTTAAGGACAGTAATATTGTTTATTTTCACTGACCTACTCAGTATTATACTAATCGCTCCTATAACTATAAAATATGTAATTAACACTTCAGGCGATACTAAATTTGGAATTTGACATTTCATATTTTAATTTTAATGTATTAAATCATTTAAATTATTCAACGATAGCCTGGTGTGGGTGATGTGGTACTAATTTTTTTGCGGGGGAAGCTGAGGTAAGCCATCAATGGTGACGCCTACAGCTAAACCTTGCGTTACTAAATATGGCATAGGTACTGTCGATTTACTTTTAATAGACTCTTTAGATAATTGAAATTCCTTTATGCATTAACAAATAATTTACTTCTAGATTTTTTTTTTATCAACTTTAAATCAAATATGTGAATCTACAAAAAGCTCTAAGTCTGAGCTAATCTGCTTAAATTATCCAGTACTGTAACAATTCTGTAAATATTGTTGATAATTTTAAACTAGAAAGTAAAAATATAGCTGATTAAACTGAAGTATAGGTAAGTCTTCATACACTCTTAGTGGTTGAGCTTTCTTATAGAAGTATTAACAATTGATAAAGCCTCAACTTGAAGTCTAAAAACAATAGCAATTAAATTCTACAGTTGTCGATGTTTGAAAGCGTAGAGTTTTAAATTATATGCACTAGTTAAATGTGTGAAATTGATTCGTTTCATACGGAAGTCATGTAAATAAATGAAGAACATAACAGATTTCTACACAAATTCACCTAGCAGTATTATAATAAAATTATTTTATTTGAAAGAGCATATTTTTTATAATCTAGGGAAGGTCGATACACTTTTTGGAATTAAATATGCACTTGAATTCAGTGATTTTAATTAATTCATTGTAATGGCATTTGTTTTAAGCTTTACGTCAGCCATAACAATGCACTATAAATGCAAGGTTGAGTAAAAGATTAACAATTAGAAAAAAATCTGTCAAATTACAATAAGAAAAGACTAATCCAAGTCGCCAATAACAAGAACAAATAATCGATAATTTCCCACTTTTAACAATTGTGCCATCCCAAAACCGTTACTGTCACTGGTATCGGCAAAAAGGGTATCGAATCCGCAATAGCGCACGAGACACTTGAAAAAATAAAACCATGAGCACTGACCACTATACCGATTTTCAAACACAGATTAAAAAATATTAGTAGAGATTATCGGTTAGTCGATTCGTTGTTCGAAGTTTGAAATCGGTTGAGAATGCGTCGGCGCGCGCGGTTCGGTCGCTTGCTAACAGGTGACTGGTGTGCGCTCGCGCAGATGTCAACGGTAAGTTACCCGTGACGGGTGGTCCCTAATAAAAAGTTAAGTACGTGGGATAATATTCTGCACTGAATTATATTTTAATACAGCCTTAGGTAAGACTAAGATCGTAAACAAATAAAATTTCGCAATGATGTTAAGCTCATTTAAAAGTTATTTATCCTGCCCAAAGAGATTGTTATGTTTGTTACATATATTTTTTTAAAATATCTCGTATATCGAAAAGACATATGGATTCATTTGATATATTTTATTAGTATCTATTGAATAATATTATGTGAAAATCTAGTTAAAAATAATACTATTTAAACTTACACTTAGTACCTAACTAAATTACTGAATTATACTGTAATAATATTTTTTGAATAGGAATTTGTAGCCTAAATTCATAATATAATAAACAAAACACCTATTAAAATCCTTATTTCCGTATTTTTCTATTTGAAAATTAACAATTAATGCATCGGTATTAATATTTATATTTATCTAATAAATAATAAAAAAAGTTATTTCACATAGTTTTCATGAAAATAATAAGTTCTATTTTAAGGTACAGCTTTTAAAATACAAGTGACGCCACCTATCGCGGGCATCGCAAAGCGTTAAGCTAACTTCGATACGAACCACAGCTTGGTATTGTAACAGTTCCATCAGCGCCATCTTAAAGTTGTGGCAACAAGCGTAAAGCATAAAGCTGATACACTTTGCGCAACGCTCTGACGACTTACCATGATGGTCTGCCAGAGGTTTGCATGGACAAATAAAGTGATTGAGTACATAACAGTGAGAGCTTTTAATTGAAACATTTATATGAATTTGCTTCATTCAACAGTTGTCAGTTTATCTTCTTGATAGAAAGACAAGAAATTTTCGACAGCTTTATTTAAAACTATCTGACGAAAACATGGTTTCTGGTTTAAAATCTACAAAAATCCAGAAAACTCTTATAGATTCATAATTGATTTTTTCGAATTTTCATAAATGCAAACAGTTGAGCAAGTTTTACTAAACTAAAAAATATAAATAACAATGCATACCATACCTCCATACCTGTCGTTCACTTAGCTTCTTCTAATTAACTAATATTTTTCTACTTCCTTTCCTTTAATAGTAATTGCATTTAGTAGTTTCTTAGAAAATACATGTTTTTAGATAAAAGCTCTACTTTCTGCTTACTTTGAAATATATGATTCTTGTGAGCTTCATTTGAAAAAAAAAACATACATGATTGACTCGTTTACAGTCAGCATGACTAGAGCTGCCATGAATTTCCCCGGATTAGTTTTAGATTGGTAGGCGTCCGGAAAGTTTTGCATTCTGTCCGTTTTTCAAGTTGGATCGCTAATATAACTTTCCATTGACATCGCACTAAGACGCACGATAAATATGTCTTATATGAGTCCAAAACCAAGATTTTTAATCTCCTTAATAACCATACAGTATTAAATTTATTGGCAGATTTTTATGATGTCAAACCTCTTTGGAATAGACAGGAAAAAGAATATTAGATGTGACGGTTTTAATTTTGAAATTGGAACTAAGAAATGAAACTCGCGCGCGACATCTGGGTCCATTGTTTTACATCTGGTTTTTTTTTCAATCTAACGCCACCTTTATTAGGTATCTTTATAGGGTTTTCAAGTACCAGGTTCTATTTTGAAGATTTTTACAAATGGCAACCATTACGGTAACGATCAGACAATTATCATGGAATACTATGGGTACTAAGAGATGCCATAACAGTATGTTGAGTTTATAAACTTGGCTAGCGCTCGGACATTATCTCCGTATTGTATGTAAATATTATTTTATAAGAGAATGATGGACGTTTTATTGTTGAAACGCCTTTTATGAACATCTAATGTATTATAAGTAGGAAATAAATAGCACACGAAATGAATAATAAATTTAAGCAATATTGCTAATCGGACTTTGATCTAAGAGTGTGTAATTTGGTACTAGAAAATTATTTTTTCTTTCAAATCAAAATGGGCTTGTAAAATTACTTAAATATTTAGTTTAAGCAGTTTGTTTCTATAAATTTAGAGCAATAAGCAGTTAAAAGATAAAACGTCACGGTTCATGAGTATTGCCAAGAGATGGCGTTAGATTTCTAATTAGAATTTAGAAATTATCATATTGTTAAATATATGACCATTTCGCGTATTATAATAACAATATATATTATTATTAAAATAATTATGTCTTTATAAATTTGTCAAAATATTTAGTTTATTTTAGTTTTGCGAATAAATAAATTAAATTTCGTTTGTGTAAATGTAAAAATGGTTTAAAAAAATTAAACAAATTAGGCAATTAAGGCAATTTAGAAATGAAATTTTCAAAATCCATTATCGAAATCATTAATAATAATGTATAAAACAAAAGAATCACATTCACACTGTAAAAAATATGGAAAAATTAATCAGTAAAATAAATTGGTTACTGTTAATAAATAAAATAAAAAAAACTACAAATACGAAAGTCAACACCATCAATTATTTATAAATAATAACGTGATATAATAATAATTTCCAGTGGCTCCATAATCAATACGATTAAAAAATTCATTCTATGTTGTAAGCCTAAATAGTAAGTAGGTAGGAAAAAATCAAAAGTATTTCTGTCGCAAGGATCGAGGGCGGATGGTGGGCGAGCCATCTGTTCCGCAGCCTTGCCGCCTACGCGAACCCTGCGTAGATCACCTGTCCGTGTGACGTCAGAACCTTAGTTGCCCTAGATAACCGACGGTAGGGCAGAAGACCATGAAAAATTTCCGGACTAATTGAAATGGATGATCCTCACACCTCAGACT